GTGATCTCAACTCTGCCTTCTAGAACACCTTCTACCTCTTCCTCCCTTACTCTGTCTTGGTTCTTCTCTCCTCTCATCATTCCATTACCTGGGTCTCCAGGCTGGGGAGAGGGGAACCCCACCCCAACAAAGCAGTCCCTATCACATAGGAGGTGAAGCGGGAGACCACAGCTGTTTAAAAGGGAATCTGCTCATTCACTTATTCATTCATTCACTCAGCAAATATTTATTGAGAACCTACAGTGCACCAAGCCCTATTCCAGGTGTGGGAGAGATAGTGGTGAACAAGAGAGATGAAGTGGCTGCGTTCAAGGAACTTGCATTCTGGGGGACCCAGGCCGGGCAGTATCTGCCCTCTGGCTTTCTGGTGCATGCCCCCGGATGCCTGAGGGTAGAGACTCCCTCTGTTACTCACGCATTTGTTCCAGCTGCCCTGGCATTAGTGCTCATCTCTCAGGTCACTAAGGACAGGGGTCCAAGCCCAGGGCCTCAACCCCAGGGACCACCTGTCTCCATCAGAAGCGGCCTGGGCTCAGGCCCTAGTTCTTTTCACTCACATGTGACTTGGAGCCCCTTACTTACCTTCCTGGCCTTGGTTTCTCTGCCAAGCGCGGCTTTGGGGAGCCCTAAGGAAGTGAGGGAGGGAAAGGCAGGCAGCTCCACTATTGCTCTGGTGGACAGCTCCTCTGATTGTGCGTGGAGATGCCAGGGACACGGCAGCAGCATCATTATCAGCATAAGATAATAATAGCAGCTGCCTATTGTGTCCACTGCGGGTCAGCCGCATGCATCTGCTCATTTAATTTATTCCTCACAAGCAGCTCATTGTGGCCAACTACCTTCCCTCCCCGCTTTCCAGACGAGGAAATTGAGTCTCAGTGAGGTAAAATGACTGGCTTGGGGTGCGATGGCTGGCTCGGTAAGGTGAAATGACACGCGAACCTACCCGACTCGGGAGCCCTTAAGGACGGGGCTGTGAGGGTGCTGCCTGGCACCGGCCCCTCCTGGGCATTCAGCCTCCAGAGTGGTAATCCAGCCTCAGTGCCTCCCGGACCGCCTTTGGGGGCTGGCACCGCCCTGAGCCTGGGCACTGGGTGCTGCGACACTGGCCAGGGCAGAACCAGGGGCCGGATCGGGCCAGGACCCGACTTAGAGCCTTGGCGCCCCTGAGCCCGGGGGCACTCCGTCCTGCACCCGGCGTGGGTGGGTGGGTGGACGAGCCCTGGGCAGAAGGGCGTTGCGCCCCCTTCCCCGCCCCCGTGCTCGGGGACGCGGCGGCACCTTCACACTTTCCGCTTGGCCCGCTGCTCGCCTTTCAGGCCGCCGCGTTTTCAATTGTTAATTTGGAAACGGAAAAAGAAGCCGGCGGGCTGGGGAGGCCGCGGAGAGGTAA